ATCTGTGAATAGGGTCAATTCCTACCTTTTGGAACATAAAATAAGGATCCTGTCACATCCATTTTGCACATATTGTTTCTTAGACTAAAAATAGCTTGATTTGATTTTCAACTTTTTCTCCCATTCCAAGCTCAGGTTTTGTTCCCTGTGTAGCCTGGGCAGATGAGGTAATATAGTCAGCATTTCAGCTGCGGGAATGCTTATGTGGACAATTTTAATCTTTTTTTACATCTTGACCTCTATTTCCAGAGAACATCCGTGTTGTATATCTACCTGATTAAGATTCTGTCAGGCATTTAATTCTCCTAAGGGAATTTATAGCTTAATCTAACAATCAAGATACCCTAATGTACTCAAGACTTAATTTCTTCAAGGTTATAGGAAACTTATACTTGAGCAATCTAATGAGTGCTATCATATGAAGTTTGACATACATATATATGTATTATATATCAAATTATATTTTTAACAAAGATAGTTCAAAAACAAATACTGTAGAGTGAATCATACTAATGTATTAATATACTCAAACCTTAACTTTGAATGTGAATTCAAGTAGAATATTGTACCTACTATTTAGGTAGCTTTTACTTATATTATCACTTATACAGTAACGACTGAAAGTACTATTAGAAGTAGTTTTCTGATAGAGTTCTGGTTTCACTAAAACAATGTTTTGAACAACAGACTTGTAACTGAAATATCTTTTGAGGCTCTTACAGCAGACCAAGTCCTCACAGCCTGCATCAGATTATAAATCTAAATATTAAAAATGTGTTTCCCGATACTAAAGTTCTTTGGTATACAATGTATCCCTACAATATATTTTAGACATGGCATATTAATAGATTGACAGTTACAGGTAAATTATCCCTATGTTTATAATATTAGCATACATCAGACAGTGACTGTCTAAATATGAGCTGGAGGTGTGCTGTCTGCACAGAGGTGGCCAGCCAGCTTTCTGAACTGCTAACTCAGTTAGGTAGAATGCAGCATGTAAAGAACTTACAGGATAGTAACTCAGCAATTAGTGATAATGAAACTTGGCCTCGAGTAGAATAAAATGTTGTATCATATTTGAATCAATCTTTCATGACTGTAGTTGCAATGAAATGTTTCACAACTTTTTTTTAAATCATCTCTTTAAAAGAGCTTTTAAAAGGACATTTTTCTTAACTTTCTATTTGTACAAAAATTTTACACTGAGATACGGTTTGAGCTTGTGAAAGACCACAAATCCTATGATACCTAAGAATTTTAGGTGTTTATGAGTGAAAGGGCTAAGTGCATGGCTCAAGTGGTAGATGCTTGCATAGCATGCCTGAGGCCCGAGGTTCAATTCCCAGAACTGAAAAAAAGGAAGAAGAAAAAGAGATTTTTTTTTCTCTTCTCCAGGTACCAATCCTTATCACCTTGGGAGCTGTAGTAATTTTCTGTGGATGTTGTAACACAGGACTACAACTTTTGTACTTTTCAACAACACAGACTATTCCCTCTCTTTCTCTCTTTTTTTTGTTTACCTGGAGTTTGACCTCATGCTTGCTAGGCCAGACACTCTATTCCTTGAGCCACTTCTGCTAGCTCCTAATCCTCTAATAGTTCTGGAGGCTGGAAATCTGCAGGTTACTGGGTTGAGGTCAAGGTGTTGGCGGGTCAGTTCCCCCTCTGGAGGAGTTAGGACCACAGCCTTTTCACTCATTGTCACATAGCTCCTCCCTCCATCTTTCCAAACCAGCGCAGGGTGCCATCTAATTTCACTGTCAGGTCTTCTCTGCTATCCTCTTGGGAGACACTGTGAATACACTGAGGGTCCACCCAGCTAATTCAGGATAACCTCCCCATCTCAAATTCCTTAATGGAATAGCACCACAAAGTCTATTGTCATATAGGTAATAGTCCACAGGTTCAGGAATTAGGACCTGGATATCTATAGGAGCCATTATTCAGCCTACCACAGGGTTATTCTACCACCATCCTCATTGGAAATGCATTTTTCTATCCAGTTTAAGAAAGTAAAAGAGAAAGAATAAAAAGTAATAGATGTATAACTTGGCTACTAATCAATTCTTTATCATATTTCAGTCTGTATGGGGTACTTGCTATTAGGGGAAATAGAAGAGATAGGTTTAATAGAAAAGTAGAGTTGGCCATGCCCGTCCCATTGTGATGTACTCACCCATTCATTTATTTTGCATCACCCTTTCTGAGTGGGGCCAGTCAGCAGAGAAGGGCAGTGAGTCACTCCAAGGTCAGACAGTGTTATTACCCTCTTATTGTAATGGACAAATCCACCCTTAAGCTTCAGATTGAGAGAAATACTATTGAGTTGGCAAATGCTTTTGATGTGTACGTGCAGAGAGTTATATGTAACCACAATTTTTCCAGACTCTGTGGCAAAGAGAAATGAAACTCTTTGCTGTATTTAATGTCTCCAAAATGTCTCCTTCAGGGCACGATCATCTAGTTCAGCACCCACTCGCAAATGCTGTGCCAAACAGTGCTAGAAACAGAAGCAAGTGTAAGGCAAATGTCTACCTTTATTCCACCACGCAGGGGAACCAAATGATTAGATAATTCATTCTAGTGCTAGAAGGCACTATTCTCCATGCGGTTCTCCCCCAGGCTTTGTGCCTGAATCAGAGGAAATACCTGGCTGGTTATCTGCCACGTACATAGCCTAATTGGTGTCCTATGGGAAACATACAGGCATCACTTGGTTCTATAGCCTAAGGAAGTCTTACTACTTAAACACTTGCAGCCAGGTTCTTTTTTGTTTTATTAATTAAATTAATTTTTTTGAGAATGGTTTCCACTATGTGGGCCAGGCTGGCCTTGAACTCAAGATCCTTTGCCCTTGATCTAATGTCCACATATGAGGGAGAACATACGATTTTTGGTTTTTTGAGGTCCAGGCTAAACTCACTCAGAAATGATGTTCTCCATTCCAAACACAACAAGGGGATTGACTATGAAGCACATGATAAAAAGCGAGGAGCACACAAGGGAGGGGTGAGGATAGGTACGACACCTAAAATAACTAGCTAGCATTTGTTGCCTTAACAACAGAGAACTAAGGCAGATACC